CAAAATTATTAGTTGTCATACAACTAATAATAGTTGTATAATGCATAATAATGATTCATAATGCATTGTAAGTTGGCAACAATAATGGTTCATAGTTGGCACTAATAATGGTTGAAAAGTGATATAACAAAATCCCACATTTAGTCATTGTAATTTAGGGTATTTTCAAGATTAGTCCTTAAAGCTTCTAATATAAATACCCTAGCTCATTTAGCTTCAAAACCATCCCAAAGCATTCTAGCTTTCTTCCAATACTAGAGAGAATTTAGAGAGTTTCTTGAGAGTTGTTTTCTCCTTTTTTATCAAGAGATAATTATCATTGTTTTCTCCTTGGTAGATTGAGAGAAGTTGTAATTCCTATTTTCTCATAGTAAAATTCTTCTACTGTTGCCCGTGAGTTTTACCCTATATTATTTAGGGGTTTTCCACGTAAATTTTGTGTCTCTTTTATCTTCATTTTTATTTTCTCAAATTATCAGTTGTGATTTTGCTTTATTCAATAGCCGTCTTCTGCAACAGTTTGGTCAATTTGAAACAACGGTTTCCATTTTTCACTACAGTCTTCCATGGTTGAGCTGACAAGGATAATTGTATGGTCGTGTAGGTGATGTTGTAGTTAAGATTAAAGGATGATTGGCATGGCAGACAACCGAGCATGAAACAAAATCTGGAGAATTCTCAATTATCATTTACAAAATAAAAAACATGACATATTATCTCTGGACTAATTATATTTTTCCACAAGTTCCTCTGAATCCTGAACAAATTTCCAAATTCCATATACTAAATTAAAACAAGTTAATGTTTTCCTGTGCTGTTGGGTCATGTTTTGTTTCATTTTCTGGATCTCTCTCTACACTTAACATGACATAACTGCTTTGAAATAGGAAGACTACGTCCAACAAATGGAAGACTGCATATTTCGTGGGATTCAAAATATATATTAATGTGGCTGATGTTTTGCAATGGATTTGAGCAGAAATTTGATTTTTCCCTACGTTCCCAAGATTCTAGTTTCTACTGTCCCTGATGGCATGAATCCCAACATCAAAAGAAGGAAAAAAAATGTGTTTCAGTATCCGGAAAACGTGAAAATAAAAAAGGAACGCAAAGATGGCGTCGCCCGGACTCGAACCGGAGACCTTCTGTGTGTTAGACTGACGTGATAACCAACTACACCACGACACCGATGTGCTTAGGAGTTTGAAAAAAGTTATCTAATCCGAATAAGTTAATAACACTGTACAACTGTATTTTTAGTCAGACAGGTGCTACATAGTTATTAGTATTTGCTAGTGTCTAAAATTATAGTCCTACCACTTGGTAGTCCCAACTCCTCTTAAGACATCTTGAAGTGCCCGAGGAAACCGCGGTTGCCGAGAAAAGCCAAGAGGATCAGAAGACGTCACTCGTCACTTGTGTATGTTACAAATCAGCCTTTATCAGCAGTTGATGATTGATTAGAATGATTTGCAGCTGCCATCTTTTATATATTTCCTTACTGAACTAATTCTCTTATCTTCCTATGGCTGCCATCATCTGCGGTTCTGCCACTTGCCATTCTGATGAGTTTGTTGGTGGGTATCGTATTTGCTTACTCCATGTGTTATCTTCCAGTGATAAGTGATTGCCGATGGAAAGAAGTCAGTCTTATTTTATACAGGAAGAACCAAATTTCCTTGCCATGCTGCAGTGAATTTCAAATCTCAAGCACGTGATTTCTTTGTTTGTAGGAATCTACCTTCGCAATCTGGAAGAGATTCTGTCGAGGCTAGTTAAGATCAATAAGAATTCCAGAGTAAATTTGGAGGATAAATAACGAAATTTCTCCTACGTTCAGTCTCTTTATTGTTGTTGAAGCATTCGTGTTCGATATTTATGTGCAACACATATTCGAACATGAACACAGAAAGAACCATCCATTTCCATGGAAAAAAATGAATATCCTCATGTCAGATGTAAACTGCACTACTAATATACTTCATATTACACTTGTAGGTGTCTTTTAGTGAAAGACGACCATATGATTTTATGTTAGTGGTAAACTTATAAAATAAAAAATACAAATAAAATATCTAAATTTTATAAAAGTTTGAAATCTTGAGAGGAGTGACGCCCCGCCAGCCTCCTAGATCCATCCCTAGTTGCAGCATCAGTAACAACAACCATCATCTTATGTCCTGCAGCATGCTTAATCTGTGTAACAAATGCCTTCATCTGAATATGAAAGACCGGGGATGATTATGCAATTTAATCAAAAAACCTCGAACAAAAAGGTCTTACAGGTAAAGATATGGAAAGAGGAGAAAGAAGATTTGGGATAAATGGTGATAATAAGACATTTTCAAGCAAAATGGCTAGACACCAGTTAAAGCAAGCTTATGTGAAAAACCGGAAACTCCCGAATTATCTTGTATCTTTTTGCATACCTTTCGATCCGTTTTACAACCATTGGTATAAAGCAGGGAATGAATCAATTAATATGGAAAGATTTAAAGTGCTTGTGTATCTTTCAATCATGTGACCAATAAACCGAAAAAAATAATGTTACACAAGTTGGTATGAATAATGACTCACTATCATAGTTCTAAGATCTTGTGAGGGCTAAGGACGTGTGAGAGAGAATAAGTCCTTTAGACTCCCCAAAGGGGAAAAAAGAAGAAAAATAGTGCATCAGTATCTGAAAAATAGTTCAGTGTCCCAAAAGAACATAAAAATGGCGTCGTCCGGACTCTAACTAGAGACCTTTAGTATGATAAACTGACGTGATAAACAACTACACAACGACACCGTCTCTTTATTAGAAATAGGTTGTGTAACACTAATAAAAAGGAACGTAAAAATGGCATGTCTGTCCTTGATGGAAAGATGTGCAAAGAAAGTAGCACCCTAGGAGAAATGGAACTAAGAAGAGCTTTCTCCAGGTATCTATCCAATCCTTTTTGAACCACGAAGACTATGTTTTCAAACAAGGCCGAATCACAAGGAAACGCCATAGGACCACAACTTGAACTAAGAGTTCAACAAATATGTCGTTGCCGAGATATGACAAGGGTGCGAGATGGCGTTTCTGATCTGTGGTGTAGATGACAAAATGACAAGGGTGCGAGATGTCGTTGCTGATGTGAATTGGAGGTCGGGTGTTGATGATAGGCGATCGACCTCGTATTGCGTTTACTTTAGTGGGAATTTAGTTTTGTGGAGCTCTCGCAAGCAACAAGTTGTTGCTCGATCCACTGTGAGGCAGAATATCGGAGTGATGCTTGTGTTGCAGCTTAGTAATTAGTATGTCTGAAGTCATTATTAAGTGAGTTACATATAGTTTCCCATGGGAAGGTAACGTTGTGGTGTGATAATACGAGCGCAGTAGCAATGTGTGCTAACCCGATCCTTCATTCAAAATTCAAGCATGTAGAACTGGATTTGCTCTTTGTTCGCGAGATGGTTGGTAAGGGACAGTTGCAAGTTCATGAGGTTTCATATATTGAACAAGTAGCTGATGTGTTGACCAAACCTTTGTCAACACCATTGTTATTCAAGCATAGGCAGAAGTTGTTGGTTATGCAGCTCAAGAACAAGAATGTTGCAAGTTCTTCTTGAGGTTGAGTAGCAAGGGGAATGTTAAGGAATGGGTTTGTATGCATGTTACATGCGTTGTTGTTGAAAGTTCTGCTTGAGATTGAGTAGCCAGGGGAATGTTGAGGAATGAGTTTTACATGTGTTGCATGCCTTTGCATGTTTGACACGTTTCTGTTAAGAATCTGTTGCAAAGTTGTTAGGGTTGTTACAGCTGGCTTTCTATTAGTCTTAGCAGAGAGTTTAATATAAATATATGTGTTTGTACCCATCTTGAATTCTTGATATATACATGAAGCTTGTATCTAGTTATAATAGAAATGCTTAGGTTGTTAACTAGTTATAATAGAAATGCTTAGGTTGTTAACTAATTCTTAATAGACTGCAAGAAATTAACTATTATTAGGAGCGAACTAAGAATTTATTATAGCGGGTTAAAATATTTTTTTATTTTATATAAATACAAATTTTTAATTGAAGGGACATGATAAATTTTTCTTTATTTTATTTTTTCAATATTAATTAATACTTAGAAAATAATTAATAGGGGCAAGGCTCCTCTTGACCCACGAAGGTCGCTTCTGTTCTTATCTAACTCTTTTACTAACATCTGGTTGTAAGCAATTGTTAGTGGGAAAATGGTTGGGATAATGTAAGTGGGATTTTTTAATTCCCAAACTAATCCACTTAGGGGATTATTTCCCCATCTATGGTGAATTGAACAGTACTAACCTAAAGACGTCAGGTATCCGCGCGTCCTTAAGTTAAATATAAAGACTCCACGATTGTACGGCGTCTTTAGACCAATAAGAAGCCATAGTTCAGAAAATAATATGATGGATAACTTATATGAGAAAATAATTTTTCCCCGACCCTAAATGGGCGAGGGAGCCATCGTTAGTGTTACTATACACCTAACACTTGAGGTTGATTAAAATAATTTTGCTTTGTATTTCCTGCAGAAATAAAATTCGACCAACTTTGGAGCGTTGGTACCGGTGAGAGTAGCAAAGAGGTTGACGTGCTAAAAAATAGAAACCGTAGAGAGAAGGAAACATTCTATCACACGAACCAGGAGATACCCTCCAACCCCAAGGAACCATGGATCAAGAAATGAACCACCGACTCCAGAAATTCCAACCCAACAGCCACCCGACACCGACTCCACTGGAACACAGCTCACCCATGGTGAACATGTTGTGATAGTAGCATTGACAATTAAACTAATATTCAGTCTAACACTTTTTAAAAACATTTTAAATTTTTTTAAAAAAATAGAAGATGCATAATAATTATAATTAATTACTTTAATTAAGCTAATTAAAAGTCATCAAACTCATCATTTTACTAAACCATTAAATAGAACAATAGAGTAGACCGGAAATAAGAAAAACTTGAGTGAAAGTATTTCATTTGGTCTTCTATTTCCCTTCTTATTTTCCCTCATTTCTTTCCTATTTCATTGGTGAATCTTTACCAACGAAAATACTGTGATCGTTGTTAACAATGGAAGTGTTGTCGTCAAAAGAAGTAACAGCAACCTCCATATCTTTATTTTTTGGAGAACTAATTGATGGACTAATCTTCTTCATCTCCTTGCTTTTCCCCCACAACACCACATAAAGTGCCACCACAATTAGCACTGCTCCAACTATGCTGTCATTACACACACAAAATAAGTGTTCCTGTGTTAATTACACTGCTCACTTAATTCAATTCGATTATGTCTATAAACATACATTCACTTACCTTCCCAGATAGAGTTTTTCTTGGAGAAACAAGGAGCCTGCAATGGCTACTAAGACGAGTGTCAAGGGGCTGAAAATAGATGTATAAAGTGGGCCTTTTATCCCCACGCACCAAGCTATCAACCAAAACGTCAGTCCCATTCCAAAAACTCCCTGCACCAATGAAAAATAAAAACTACACTTTATATTCAACCCTAAACTAAACCCAATTAAAGATTTGGCCTCTACAGATTACAGACCGCGTAAGCAACGGTGAGAAGCCTTATATTCCACCCTAATCTCCACTGACTCATGTCTCTTTCCACGCACAATGCAAACGCAACTGCTTGTACGGTTCCGATCAAGCTTATCAACGCGGTGCTCGAGTAATAATACGGGTATTTCTCACCCATCTTTGCCTATGAAACAAATGAAAAACGAAAAGCTTCATAATGTCAGCTTGAAAATAAGCAAAGGTGTATTTGAATTACCTGAATGTTCATCCAAAGAGCATAACAAATGCAGCAGACAAAGGCCAAGAAAGCGCCCAATAGATAATGAGTAGCATTTGACGAGTTAGAGGCATTGTGCTTATGAGGAAGAAGGTTAATATGGGTTGATATATTGAATTGGAATCCTTTGTAAAAAGTGAGTATCATTGCCCCACCTATTCCAAGTGCAGTTCCCAATACCTTTGCCTCCTGCCATTGTCCTCAATGCTAGCTTTTCCAATCTGTCGTAATTTTGTATTGGAACCATCAAAGTTTTAATAGCATTTGACGAGTTAGAGGCATTGTGCTTATGAGGAAGAAGGTTAATATGGGTTGATATATTGAATTGGAATCCTTTGTAAAAAGTGAGTATCATTGCCCCACCTATTCCAAGTGCAGTTCCCAATACCTTTGCCTTCCCTGCCATTGTCCTCAATGCTAGCTTTTCCAATCTGTCGTAATTTTTGTATTGGAACCATCAAAGTTTTAATCAAAAGAAACATACATACATACAAACATAGATACATACATACCCAAGAGTGATGGCAATAATGAAAGTTACGGCAGGAGTGACATTAACCATGGCACAAACAAATGTTGCTGATGTTAAGGCCAGGCTTTCTATGTACAAGTTCTGAGCTAGTGAACCCCTGCAAAGTGCAAGTAAATATTAAAATTACTTATACTATTTTTTTAAAAAAAAAATCGGCCTCATTAAAATTCCCTTCTAATACCTATGAAGGGAAAAGAGTACCCATAAGAACTATATCACTGATGAGAATAATCATTCAATAAATTGTTTCGAATAACCTCGGGACAAACCGATCCAAAATAATTAACATTGCCAGAGAAAGAGTCCAAGTGGCTAAATTATGAGCAGCCATATTACTAATTTAAAAAAATGTGTAATATTGGCATTTTATTGGAAATACTAAAAAACTAAAAGCAGGGTCCACGGACCTGTCTAAGTTTAGAAAATTATTACCTATTATTCTCTCTGAAATGTACACTTCACCTAAGCATAAATCCTACAATGTAATATTTATTATCTCTTTATCCAATTTGTGTTGAATGGTCCATTTTAACTAATCAAAATGCACCATTGAATCTTTAACCAAATAAAGCCTGTGTAACAACTTTACTTACCCTAGCAACGCACAGAGAGATGCTTGAAAAAATATAGTCCATGTCATTTTTGGCCTCTTCCTACACAGCAAAAACCAGTGTAATTAATACAATTTCAAGTTATTTATAATCAGTATATTCAGATTAATAATCGGATATATATAAAAGCAAATCTATATATGGTAGGTTTTAAATGGAATAATATCTATACCGTAAATGTTTTTAGTCTAAAATTCCGTTTCAAATGCAAAAACATTTCCAAACAACCCATTTTCGATCAAAATTTCAGATTTAAAACGTGACTATTGACTTAAACGAAGAAGCTGAAAAAGCTTGTTAGAATGGCTCGTTGGATAAACATTATGAAAGGAGACCGTAAAAAGGACAAAATTTGATTCATGTTTAGTTTTTCACTCAAGAACACAATGAGCCACCTCAATAGTAAAAGTAAGTATTGTTATTTTTAAAATATCTCGAGTTCGAATAGTTGTGTCTATAGTGTGTGAACGTCGTCAATAAATAAGAAAGATTTTAAACAAGATTACTTTAACTCACCCATATTAATAAAAAAAAATAAGTTGCTCACTCGATTTCTCCATACATGGCGTGAAAAAACGATGTTATTTGATGATCTAATAATGGTTAATTAGAAGAGAAAAAAATGAAGAGTGAGAGAGAAAGAGAAAACCTTTCAACGATGAGCGCAAGGGGAACCATGAAAGCAGTGGCGAATAACATTCTATAAGCCACGACGACTCGCAAGTTCATCCCATCGTTTGCTGCCAATTTGTAAAGCACATTAAGCCCCGCGGATACTACTTGAACCACCACCATCAGCATGGCCGGCTTTAATTCATGCAATATCTTACTAATCTGTCCCATAATTTTTTCACTGAAAAACCAAGTAGACAAAAAAAGGGCAGTTGAAATCAAGCTTCTCTCTCTTTGGTATAAAAATACCAGAGAGCGTGTGAGTAAATGGGGAATGAGATACCTTCAAATTTATAAGCAGTGATGAACCACTCTGTCACTGGGAGTGGCCCTACCCCACCCACCCCTATTTTTACCTTTTGATTTATTCAATGAAATTGGAAAATGTATAAATTAATTACAATTTATCTATTTCTAAAGCAAATTATATTTTGCTCTCAAACTTGTACTCCTCCAGATAGGGCTAATTGTTTTATTAAAGTATTTTTGAATTATTCGAGTTGATTATAATTCAAACTAGATTTGAAACTTTTTTCGAATTAAATTGAATTTATAAAATTTGAGTCGAATTATTCGAGTTTATGTTTAAATTTAATTGTCAATATTTATAATATTATGATATTATTTTATTCAAATTTAAATAATTTTTTACAGTCATATATAATACATATATATTTCTTTATATTGTTTCTTACATTATATTCACATATTGTACAGAGTCGAAAGAATTGACTCAAAAAAATAATCTATTAATTTTTAAAATTTTTGAGATATTATAATTCTATTTTATAACTTAATTCGAATTTTAAAAAAATGACAAGTCGAGTCAAATTTATAAAATAAAATTCAAAATCGATTTGAGTTAAATCAGATAAAAATTAAATTATAAAATCTAATCAAAATTTACTGAGCCTCGTTCTAACTACTCGTGTTTAAAAGGAATGAAAATTCAGTGTATGTAGTGTGAACCGTTGCATGTGAGTTTTCCACTGCAAACGTCAGGCTTTGCTTTGCTTTTCAGCCGCTCTTGCTTGTCCTTCAATCGGTGCCCGTTTTGGTAACCTCCACCTGTCTTTCCCTGTAAGGCTTTGAACTTTGGGTGCCTTACAGATACTTTTAAGAGATAAAATGATTTTTAATTTTAAAATTTAATTCAGCATCTTTATTTTAATTTGTTTAATTTTTAAATTTATTAACTTTTAACTATTTTAATGATGTATTATTTTAATATTATATTACACCATCAAAAAGTTGAAATAAATTAATAAATTCAGAGATCAATATAAAGGAATTATAGATCAAATTACAAAAATTAACAAGAGAATTTATTTTTCCATTTTTTCTCAAAACCATTTAAATCAAAACCACCATATTTTATGATTGATTTTCGTGCAAATATTTAGATTCTAGGAAAGAACGGAAAAACTTCCTCTATTAGTCCTGGGAATAAAGGTGTTTAACATACAAGGATAGGATTGTTGCATGCATTGTTTGCTTTTACAAGTTTAACAAATTTGAGCACTCGTCAATTGCTGATGGTAATGACTAGGACCTCGATCCCCCAAATTTTAAAATATTGTTATTTAGTCTTTTAACTTTTTTCTGTAATTTGACCCTTTAAATTTTTTATTAAGTTTAATATTTTTATATTTTTTGTTAAATTTACTAAAAAATAAAAGTGTTCATTAAGTCGGATCCAGAAACAGAATTTTGAGAAAAAGGAAATCCTAGTATGCCAACAACCCAAAAGAAAAATATCTTTTTAGGTGTAGATGGTCTAAAAAAAATGAACCCAACAGAAGAAAATTATTGGCATACTAAATAATAAGACCAAAACAACTATGAAATCCGAAAACAATACAAGCCACTTGCCAACAGTAAATCTGGTATCTAAAATCTGAAACCTGATGTGAGAGAGGGAGAGAGCACTCAAAAGCATTAACTATATGTACTAGAATCTTTCCTCCATTGACAAAAAAACCAAAGCTTACGAAATAAACACAAACATAACTCACACGGAAACGACTGAAAATGAAGGCTTAGGATACGTTCGAATCAGAAGCACTTCCGGTGAACAATAGCCGGTCCAGATTCATCGTATTCACCTTTGGAAATCCACATCTGCGGCATGAAAAGTAGACGGTAAGCAATGAAAGTGGATATCTTTCATCCCCAATGAAGCTCCACAAATGAGCTATATTTGGAAAAATAGAAGTGCGAGTAGGCACAGAATTTACCTGCTGGAAGGTGCTAAGAGATGCCAAAATGGATCCTCCAATCCAGACACTGTATTTTCTCTCCGGAGGTGCAACCACCTTGATCTTCATGCTGCTAGGGGCAAGGGCAATGATTTCTTTGCTCATCCTATCAGCAATGCCAGGGAACATGGTTGATCCACCGCTAAGCACAATGTTTCCATACAGATCCTTCCTGATATCAACATCGCACTTCATGATGGAGTTGTAAGTAGTTTCATGGATTCCGGCAGCTTCCATTCCAATCAAAGATGGCTGGAAGAGTACTTCTGGGCAACGGAACCTCTCTGCTCCAATTGTTATTACTTGCCCATCAGGCAATTCATAACTCTTTTCAATAGCAGAGCTGCTTTTGGCAGTCTCCAACTCTTGCTCATAATCAAGGGAGACGTAAGCAAGTTTTTCTTTCATATCCCGAACAATTTCCCGCTCTGCAGTTGTTGTAAAAGAGTACCCTCTCTCAGTTAAGATCTTCATCAAGGAATCTGTAAGATCACGTCCAGCAAGGTCTAATCGGAGAATAGCATGGGGGAGAGCATAGCCTTCATAAATTGGCACTGTGTGGCTCACACCATCGCCAGAATCCAAGACAATACCTATACAGATATAAGAGAATAGAGTTAACAATAAACGGGAGGAAACAAGCAAATCAAAATCTCCATGCTAGTTTCAGTTTCCAATATTGTATAACAAATAGAATAAATAGAGTAATGCCTAGTGATTGTAAAGCTAAATTTATTTCAATCACAAACTCTGGAATATAATCAAAATTAGTTTCCAAGCCATAAATAGATACCTGTGGTACGACCACTGGCGTAAAGTGAAAGAACTGCCTGAATAGCAACATACATAGCAGGAACATTGAATGTTTCAAACATAATCTGGGTCATCTTCTCCCTATTAGCCTTAGGGTTGAGTGGTGCTTCTGTAAGGAGCACTGGATGCTCTTCAGGAGCAACACGAAGCTCGTTGTAGAAAGTGTGGTGCCAAATCTTCTCCATGTCGTCCCAATTGCTTACAATGCCATGTTCAATAGGGTATTTTAAAGTAAGGATACCTCTCTTTGACTGGGCTTCATCACCAACATAAGCATCCTTCTGACCCATCCCGACCATGACACCTGTGTGTCGTGGGCGACCAACAATACTAGGGAAGACTGCCCTTGGGGCATCATCACCAGCAAATCCAGCCTGCAAATACAAGAAAAAAGCAAGCATCAGCAGCTACATATTAGAACAAATAATTAATAAAACACAAGAAAATCCGAAAGTATATTGCATCAAGAGTAAAACCAAGCCATTACATAATGAAAAATAGAATTATTCACATATTGTCATTATCAAAATTTTCAAGGCAACAAAACTTGGAATGAAATGTATATAGAATCCATGCAAGGAAAATAAACCGATCGTATAAACATCAGAAAACTGACTAACCTTGACCATTCCAGTTCCATTGTCACAGACAAGAGGTTGAATATCTTCATCCGCCATCTCTTACTAGTTATTCCCCTGCATTACGAAAAAGAATTGTAGTAAAAAAATTATTTTTATTTATTGGAAACCTTTTTCCATTCAGAAAGGAAGATAATTACTATCAACTTTTTTTCATCTCTGATTTGACAAATCTTAAAATCGACCCACTACTAAAACTAGTATCCAAGTAGTTTGTTACGTAGTTAACTGTATCAATGCCAAATACGAACAATTAGTTGGTGTCATTTATATTCTGTATCATTTCCAATTGTTCACAAGTTTTGCACTTCACAGCAAGTAAATTCCTAAAACACAAAGGCCAAACAATAAGAGAACCAGCCATTCTAGAAATCAATTTCCGATAATATAAATCATTTACGAAATCATAAAATCGAAACTATAAAAGAATCTAAAACATATAACACAGTAAGCTACTACTAAGTATACAGCAAATTCTGCAGAATCTATAGTTCTCAAGAAAACATCACTCCATACTTCACCAAGATCTAAATGAATCAGAAATAAATATCAATGTGATGCATGAGGAGATCAAAATAAATTTCAGATTCCGCAAGAATAAAACCGCTACAGGAAAACCAAGCCGATACCAGAAAATAGGTTAATTAAGACAACTTTAGGCAGATCCAAATCATAAAACACAGATAAGGCCGGCTATTTGACACTTAATAGTGCATCGGGAAGAACAAAACATGGCAGGCACGCGATTAGTTAACTACAAATAAGGCCGGCAATTAGAGACTCAATAGATCAAAGCAAAAAAGAAAAACAGGTAAAAGGCAAATACCTTGTTTAAGCAAAAAAGGGGAGAAAATGACAATTCCTTTTGCAGAGGCTGAAACAGGAGAGTGAAGACTGAAGAGGCAGCGAAATGGAATATGCGGGCTTTATGTAGGAGCAGAAATGAGAATGAAATGCAAATGCAAATGAAATTCAACTCAAATTCAGCTTACCTCTGTTTTGGCTGCTGAGAAATAAAATAAAATAATAATAAAATGGAAAAGGATTTTCTTCGGTGCGGAAAAGGAAAAGAAAAAAAGGAATATCTTGGACAGACAGATAAAAAGGAATCCAAAACAAATGCGTTATATTAGCTGTCTAAAAATCAACGTCGAGTCTCTTTAGATTCTGGTGAGATGATGATGATGATGATGATGTGGACTTTCCGAAGACTAAAATGAATGTGTGACTTATTGGGGTTGATGCCACGTCAGTAGGACGGCTAAAAGCTAGCGTGGGCGGTGGCTACGAGTGGTGCATGCCCAGGGATGTCAAAAGGTCGGGTCATAGTTAGGTTTTTTTTTTTCAATTCAATCCAACCCGAAAATATGTATACTTCATATAAATTTGATTCGATTCAAAAATTATATATATTTCAATCTGATCTGCATAATATATATTTATCACTCGACTTTGACTCAACCCAAAATTTTAAAGCAAAAATTTAATTCGATCCGACCTGATATAAAATAAGGATTTAAAACAATATTTTTAA